CCCCCCCCCCCCCCGACAATTTCTCTGTAGTGGTGGGATATTGCCCATCAGTTGTTAATGAGGTGCATCTGGGGATCTTTAGACCAAGGGGAGTCTGGTGTGCTACTGGGCAGTTCCTCCTGGTTCCAAATGGTGCCTTGAAGAAGGGTCTCACAGCTGAGCACATCCAGGTGGACTTTGTAATTCTGGGTCTTAGTGAGGAGAAAGCCACTTTTCTGAAAAGTGGAAGCAGAATGCCTCCACCCCTGCCTGATGGGTTATAAGTCAGACTCTGTTAACCAGCTCATAGATATGGAATGGAAATTTGGAGTGACATCTGGGAGCAGCAGATTAGAGCCTTTTAATTTAGCTGCAGTTTTGTTCTGAATTTCGAATTCAAGTGCTATTTTTAACCCCATATTCATCAGAATGGCAATAACTGGCATGTTTTATGTTCTTGTGAAGATGAGAAGGGCTTTCACACTTAGCCCTTCCTTTGGGGTTTATTTGAGGTTATTCTGAACTATCATGGGGAAGAGACTGGCTTCCTTTTTATCTTGTTTTTGGTTTGTGCATTTCTTTACATTGGTAAGGGGAGGGTTGATTGATATGCATTGGCAATCCTCTGTTTTCTGTAACTATTTTCAGGAAATGAGAAAGACTACAGAAGAAAAAGCTTGAGAAATCAAAATGGTGTCAACACAGTCTGGCTTCTCATTTGCTTATCAATAGAAGATATATTAATGGAGGTGGTACCAATTGTACATAAATACACAACTTAGCAAATCACATATCTGAATAGAATCCAAGTTGAGGAACAGGACCATATAAAGTGGAACTAATGTCCAACCAGGTAAAATGTAACTAGTAAAAATGTAATTGCGTTAAATGACTTGTGAAAGCCAATAATTTATTACCATCTGTCATTTTTAAAATGACAGTTGCATGAAATGGAAATAATAAATAAGCTAAGTATTTTTTGAACATTCCATGCTCAAAGCCCATCAGGATGGCTTGAGCACATGTAGTTTCTCATCACAGTCATAGGAAGTCTAACAATGTCATCTTTTATTTCCAAAAGATTATGATGTGTTTGTGGAACAAATTCTGCTATTTTGTAGGGAGCTTCCTTGACACTTTAGCACCCCATTACTCATGATATCGCAGAGTGTTTTAGTAGTGGAAGCTAACAGTGAAGGCATGGTCTTTCTTGTTGTGAAAGTATGAGGTTAAATATGCTGCCAAGTACTGTCCCCTGAAACAACTCCATGGTTTTGAAAGCAGGGAAGCAGCAGTCTTGGGAAATATAAGAGTAAAGATTGCAGCCCAACAGCAAAGCTTAAAATTTTCTCCTGTAAATCACTTAGGAACAAAAGAGGCAATCAGACCCTGGTGTTTTTTGACAGGTGGGATCTTAATTAGGGTAAAATCTATTAGTGATAATTAAGAAAGGATATAACCTTGCCAGCTGGAGTGCATTAGAACCAGCATGGAGTGTTTCAGCTGATCCCAGTTCGTCTGTGGCTTCCCCTTCTCTGGGTGATTGCTCCTAGGGGTGCCTCCCTCACAGGCTGTGGGTGTTCCATTTGGCCTTGCTCACATCTTGGGAGTCCAGGTGCAAAAGGTTTATGAAAAACAACAGGATTAAGTACATGATTACCCTGTAAACTCCTTGTTAAGGGAACCTCCACCACCTATCTCCCAGGATATTACATTTGTTTGGTAGACTTTTTAAAATTTCAACTCATCCCATAGTCTGGGCTGTCATACTTGTGGAATAGCATTGTTATCAGTGGGATATTAATTGCTATTAATTGCATTCCCTTCTTCCTACTCGGACAGATCTTGCTTCCCACCTTCACTTCAGGGCCTAGCACAAGTTAACCTACTCCTGTGTTGGTTTGGACTAATTCACTGTAAGGAGCCAATAGCAAGCATTGTTATGTTGAGTTACTTTTATAAAGCATAGGATCATGAGTAAGGAGCCAAAGTCAGTCTTAGGGGAAGGCAAAGGAAAAGGCCCTGGGGCTGATCATAGGGCTGGAGATGTCTGGCATCACAGACGACTCTTCTTCGGGGATGCCCAAGAAGGGTATAAGTATACTAAGGAGGAATCCAATTGGGGACGCCCACAGATCCTCAAGGGCAAAATGCCCTACTACAGAGGACACTCTGGAGAGGATTTTGACCCAGGGATCATTCCCTTAGACATTACAGGTTTGACCCAGATAATCTGAAAATGCTTCATCTTTTTTTTTGTAAGGAGACTTGGCCTCAGTATAAGCTTGGGGACCAAGAGCCGTGGCCTCTAAATGGGAGCCCCAATTACAACATGATCTACCAGCTAGATCTGTTTTGCAAGAGGCAAGGGAAATGGTCAGAGATTCCTTATGCCAGGCCTTCATGGCTCTGCATCGTGGACCCCTCATATGCAACAGAATTTCGAAGATTGATTCCAAAAAGCCACAGTCGCAGATCTAACTGAAGGCCCCCTGCTTCAACATCCACCTCTC